GGCTCAGTGAAATTTCCAAAAATTCATCTCTAACTCCCCCATTCCCTTTTGGAACAAGGGAAGGAGAAAGACCTATTAATGTGCCTTCCCGTAGTCATACCTCACTTCTCCTTGTATCATCACCTCATTTCTGGCCAATCAGTTCTTACAGTGCCACTCAGTTACAACAGCACCCCAACTGGTACAAAGACTTTCGGTGAGGGGGAGGGGAAGGATTACATTTTAGGAGCCTAGCTTCTCTGCTCCCCAAAGCCGTGTACTTCCTTCCCTAGCCCCTAGCACAACCCATACCAAAGTTCAGAGGGCGAGCCCAATCTGCCAGCAGCAAACAGCCAAGTTCAAGATGAAAGCCTTTGGCCTGAGGTCAGGGCCAGCCAAGCACAGCATCCAAAACTAGGGGATTGTGTTTCTTTTAAACACCAAACTATAAATAGGGCAAAATCCCAGGAAAATACTTAGAAGAACAATCATCACCTCCCTTGCAACCCCCTCCTAAGGCTCCCACCACCCACTAGAACCTTTCAGCACTTGCAAATTTCTACCCTTGAAGTTTCTCTTCTCCATTACAGTGCTGCTATCTCATCATTCTCAGGAATCTAGGAAAACTCTCAAACAATTTAATGAAAATTCACTGTAACTGGCAGAACTCTAACCAGAGCAGTTAACTAAGGTAGAATTATCAGTGTGATGTGTTTTGTTGGCAGCCCTTGACTTTGAACGGAACATAAGAAAACAAGCCATCAGGAAAGGACCTCTTTCTTGCATTTCCTCTCAAAAACCCAACTTACCCACTTTCCACACTCTTGGACTGTGAGAATTCAAGTCTGTGCGTCTGATGGGGAGGCCTCCAAGATCCTGGAGAATCAAAAGATCTATTGTGTTCCTTTTACTTACAAAGGCAGTTAAGTGGACCAGTGAGCTTTACAATTTCCATCAGCGCTTGAAACAAAGGGGGTGTTCATATTAACCCTCAGTTCTCCAAAACTGAACTAGATGTCTTTCTTCAAAAAAACCCAATGTACTCCATTTTAAGTATTCTGGCCAGATGTGGTATTAATGACAGGACATCCAAACCTCAAAATTGGAATTAGCGTTCCTACTGTACACTGATATGTGCATATGGTACCGAGCCTTCAGAAAGGCTTCAGAAAGGCAAGGAGCCATGCGTGGAAAGCCCTGGAATTGATGACGTACTTTTGGTGCTTGGAGTAGCTGGGGATGTAGCTCAGTGGTAGAGTGCTTGCCTAGCACTTTGCCACTTGGGAGGAAAAGAGGTCAGTAGGATGCAGGAGGTTTCCAGAATGGGCCAGTTATGTAAGCAGTCTAGGAAAACTCAAGTGTTAAGAGTGCCTGCCTGGCAAGCGTGAGGCCCTAAGTTCAAACCTCAGTGCCGCCAACAACAAGAACAGAATATTAACTTAGATCTGAAACCTGACTGTACTATAAGATTCTGGGCAAGTGACAACATCATTTCCCCCTTCACTTTCCTCATTCATAGGGTGTGCTTCGAGAATAAAGAGAATATATATAACATGCTTCTTCAAAGTGTCTGGTTCATGGCGACCTCTCAAACCTATCCTGTCATTCACAGAGGCAAAAGTTGAGAAACACTGTCATTCCTTCCCTTCAACTCAACCCCTCTATTTTTGGGGACACAGAAAGAAAAGGGGGTCTTTCAAATGGAGATGTGCAGAGGTGTGAATGCATTACTTCAGTAATGCACGCAGTGCTGGATCAGCCAGGCAATCACACAAGAGAAGTCTGTGTCAATGCCACTTCTAGAGGAAAGAGAAAATACAATTTCCCAGCAGGCCAGAATCTAGCTGGACAAATTTACTAAGATCACTTAACAGAGCAAGAATTCCACAGCTTCACAGGCCCAACAGGGAGGGAAAGGTGGACTAGGGTGCAGGTTCCTGAGTTACACTGCCTGCTATCCCCCAGACTAAGCCTCTGTGTCACTGTAGCCAGGTTAACTTCTCTGGGTGTTGGTTTCCTTACCTGAATACATAAGGTCATGGCAAGAGTACCTGAAAGAAGGCAGGTAAAGTACTTGACCAGTAGCCTTGTTCAAAGAGTGCTCAATAAATGCTAGCGGCAAAAAACCTGTTTTTTCTCTATATATCTTGCCTAACATTTCTCCTTTACTGGAGCCTCACCAAACCTTCATTTTGCAGATGAAGAAAAAAAGGCAAAGGTAAGATAACTGGCTTGACTGAGATGGGGAAATGGCCAAACCTGATGGCAAAGCCAGCCTGTGCCCTCTCCTAAAATGAGGGTGATTCCGCTCCCACAGCCCAACACAGAGTGGGTATGCTGTGAATGCTGACTTCCCCCATGGAGGCTCTGCAGTATGGAAAAAGTGGGGGACATAAATGCTGCAAGAGGTGCAAGAGCTGGCCACCACAAAACTGGTGAAGTAAGCATTTGAAGAAGGGTTCCAGATCATTCTGAAGGCAGGAAAGAGGGCAGCCACGTGGTCCTCGGTGGGGGTTTTGGAGGGCAGGGCTGAGCTCTTGAAAGCCGCTCTGAGCCTCAATTCAACCACAGGGTGAGCAAGGGAGGAAGCACCTGACTGCTCTGGAGTATTTCTAAAGAAAGGTGATCACCTCCCTTTCTCATGCATTTGAAAATGCCACTCCCAACTTGCAGCATAAGAAAAACAACCCCCCAACCAGACAGCACCTCCCTCCTTTCCAACCTTCAGTTCCCCCTGGCAATTCAGAATCAGCTAAAACACAGTTCCTCAGGGGGGAAATACCCAAGCAGCTGGATGGGCAAGAAGATTTTTGAGTTTTCATTTTTCTTTAAACCAATTTCCTGCAGCCTGAGGCTGCGCTCAACACACAAATGAGAAAGCCAAGCATGGCAGATTCCTGCAGATTAAACCTGAGGCTGGCAAAAGCTTCCTTTCCACTGGTCCATTTTCCTTTCTTGGGTTTTTCCTATGAAGGGAGGAGGAGACGCACCCACTTGGGGTTGACTTGAGTTTTTCTGGCTGAGATGGGGACAGAGCTATTCCTGGACTTATCTATTACCCAAGAACTTATCTATAACCGTCTCCTGATGAGATGATGGCCAAAATCGTCTTTCTACAAGCCACCTGCCCGCTTTGGGGGAATAACGGTTTACCGATTTAGCAGGGCCTCAAAGTAAGAGGCATTTTGTTTGTTCAAACACCTTAAGGAAGCAGTCTAGCCTCCAAAGCTACCACCACCAGCTGCACCCGGCTGCCAAATCCCTGGACAGCCCCCCTTCCCTTTCCCTAGTGTTTTGAAGTTTATTTTCCCACATCTAGCCTTGAATTTTTTCCTTCCTTCCCCTGCAGCAGCGAAGGAGCAGTGATGAGGGAAACACCACCAGGGCAACTCAAGGTTTTATCATCCTGGCCCACTCTCCTCCCACTCTAAACAAAGCCCCAAGCAAACTAAACAAAACTCTAGAAGAGAGGAATTGTTTCCCCGGAGGAAATCATAAAGTGACCCCCTTCTGCAGCACACACAGACAAGGTAGGCATCCATCAGAAAGTACCTGGACCATCCAGAACCAAAAAGAGGAGCCAGACAAACCAAGCACCTTCCGGAGCTCACCCCAATCATCCCCGCAACCCACCCCAAAAAAAGACATTCTCCACTGAAATGCATCATGGCACTTGCTAGTCTAAACCTCCCCTTCCACCAGCCTCCTGTGTATTCTACAGGGCAAATTCTCTCCAGGCCCTGCTACCAGAGGGCAGTAAGTGCACATCTGTGTGAAGGTCCATCGATCTGAACACAAAACGGAGGTACCACCGGCAAGATAGCTTCTTGCTTCATGTTTTATGAATGCTTTCAAGCAGGAAAGAGGGATGAAGATGGGTTCCTTCCCTTCTCACAGATGGAAAAACTGAGACTGGAAAATGAGAGAACTACATAGGCGTAAGTATTGGGGAGCTGCGGTAGATTGTATGTTCTTCATCAGATCTCTTCTCTGACATCTTTCATCACAGGATAAATGCACGCCTTGGATAAAAATCCTACTCCTCCCTGGTCCTGCTCCTACAAGGGGAGGCCATTAGTGCAAGCCACAAACGGTAGATAGTTGAGGTTGTGTCCTCAAGAAACGTGTAAATAAGGACTTGGTCCCCAAGTTGGCCCAAAGTCCTCGCTAAGGCGGTCAGCCCAGTTTACCCACCAAGGGAGGTGAATGCGATCCATTTGGGCCTGTGCACCAACAGATAAGAGGTTCCCAATGCCAACTCCGAAGAAACTCCCCTCCCCCACTTTCCTTCTTCGCACACTCTCTCTCATACTTCGAAAAGGGACTACCGAGGTTTTGTTCGTTTGTGCAACCTGCTGCTTTTACAAAGTTTAACTCCAAACCCTTAGGGATGTCTCAGCCAGATAAGCCTTCCCGGAAGCCTGAGCGCGTCCTCCCCAGCATTCCAGCCACCAGCCCACACCTCGCCGGCTCAGGACCGGCAGAGCCCCCGACCCTCTCCAAGCGCAGCGGACGCAGATGGATTTTGCGCCCAAGTTCAGTCCGGGGGCTTCGCGGGGTTCACTTTTTGAAGAGAAGAAAAAAAAAAAGCCGGGCGGGCGCGGCACTGGCCCTGAAGCGAGAGGTGGAGACGCGAGGGGTGGCACCCGGCTCGACTCCCGGACTCCGGGAGCGTCTCCAAGGAAAGATAAACGTCTTTATCCGCCCCATAGCCTCCCTCCAAAGAGGGAGGCACCCACACACCCACACCAAGCCACCGCGGGACCCAGTTCATCCGGGAGTCAACCTCAAGTTCTCTCCGGACAAACTAGGTTCCGATGACTCTCCGCGCGTGGGGGACCTCCGTGTCCCGGAACGAGCATCAGACTGTTGCAACCTGACCCATGATGGGACATCCTCTCCTGTCACCCCAGTGTTTGCCACTGGGACTGAAGGCCATCAAAAGATGTGGGGACACCCTTCAGCACCGTTTTAGCCCCCGAAGAGCCTCAGGTGACATAGGGGTACAGGCGGCGGCTCACCTCCAGGATCTTGTCCAGGCCCTCCTGGCCCAGGCACGGGAACTCCTTGAGCAGACGCAGCTTCTGTGTGTAGTAGTTTTTCTTGGCCTCCTTCCAGTGCGGCTCCTCCAGCACTTCGAAGATCGCCGCCCCGATGGCCAGGTAGAAGATGATGGCCGAGGTAAGCAGAGGGCCCCGGTCCACCATGGCTCCGGAGCGGCCGCCTCCTACAGAAAGCTTCTCCTAGCCCCAGCAGCTTCGGGTCTGCCCGCCCTGCAGCCTCTAGAAACAGCTGTTTGAATTTGGAGCTCCGCATGCGCAGTGCTCCGTACCCCCGCGCCGCTCCAGGGACAAAGTTGCTCGGCCAAGTTGGCCCACTGAGCGCAGGGAACTGCGCAGACCCTGCTCACACCCGCGGGGGGAGGGCGAACACCAAAGGGGCGGAGGGGGCGTCCCAAATCTCCGGGACGTAAGCAGCTGAGGGAATTCAGGCCCCAACACAGGGAGACACGTGTGCCGCTCCTCCGCGCGCCAGAGCAATGTGCGCCGCGCCCGCCTCCGCACTGCTCTTTAACCAGCGCTGCGCGCGCTCTCCCCGCCCGCGCTGGACCCGGGGGTGTGGCGAAGGCAGGCCCCGCCTCCAAGACCCCGCCCCCCATCTGGCCCCGCCCCGCGCAGCGCCTGCGAGTTGTAACGACTAAGTTAGCGCTGGAAGGAACCGGTTGCCAGCCAAAGTTTCTCTGCTGCTCCGCACCCCGCAGTGCCCGAGGGGTTGCGGTCTGTGGGAATCGTGTTGGTTATTAGTATTGCTGTATTAACTAAAATGATTGTGCGTCTTATGATTGAGGTCAGGAATTTATTGCTATTGTCATTTTCCTTGTAATTAAATTTTCATTTACTGATGTTTCTTCCAAGAAAGCTTGATTCTCAGTCTCTTCTAGTCTCTCACCCACTTTTCTAAATGCCTGGAGAAAGGGGATCAGAAAAGAGGCTGAGGAGGTTTTGGGGAATTATGGCGAATGTCAGGAATTAACCCAATTCACAAGGGTATGTGTTTGGGGGGGGCTGACTGACTCCTCCCCTTCACTTCATTCTCACCTGTCCTGCTAAGACCTCCACATCTGGCAGGAGTAGCCACATTCACCTTGTGTGGACCTGTTCCATACTTCCAAGCCTATTTGAAATTGCACACACACACACACACACACACACACACTGGAATGTCAGCTGGAGAGTGAGGAGTGTGGCTTGTTCCTTGGTGCATTCACAGTGCCTGTTACATAGTAGATACTCAACCCCCATGTGTGCAATGAGGAGGGAATGAGTTTGTCTCACCTTGTTACCTTTTTCTGAGTGTCTGTAAACCCAGGCAGTATTGTATCTTTCCCAGGCATCATAAGCAGAGCCTGTCATTAACCAGCTTCCCAGTGAGGAAGCTGAGCCCTGCCAGGTTTGTATAGTCTCCACCACCAGCAGCAGGAAATTGGAGGGGCCCACTCCTTCCAGCGCTCTGTAGCCACCCTGACCCTCTCAGGCCTCTGTGGGGACAGATGGAGCAGGGTCCAGAGTCTCTGCACATTTCCCCGTGAGCCAAGGCCTTCTCTTTCCATGGGAGAGAGATCTGGATGGCTCATGGTCAACGAGTTTCAGGAGGTTATCTGTGGATCTCCAAATTGTGTTGGAGTCAAAGGGCTTGAGATGACATTCTGAGCGCTAATCTTGCTTTGTAAATGCTTCTGTCTTTTATGGCTTTGTGTGCATGCCCTGAGGAAGAGGCCCAGGAGGCTGGAGTAGGAAGCAGGGAAAACCCAGGTTTCATAATTCTGGTGCACGAAGACTGCAGTGCCTATCCCGTCAAGTTACTCCCCAGCCAAGGGTACCCTGTACAAGGCCTTGGGGGCTCATTCTGCAGAAGTCCTGCTCCTCAGCACCAGGCCCCCTTACCCACCCTGAACAGATTCCTCTCCTTTAACCCTGGCAGACTCCAATCCACTCAGCACCCCCACTGGGGCCTGAACCCCAACTCCGCAGTCTCACTCTCCAGGCCTCAACTGGATATGGAAACCATGCTCCTGTCCTGGATCCCCTCTCTGGATGGAACTCACCCTCTTTGCGAGAAAGTCAGGGCTGCGTGCTGTGTGAACACTTCAGCCAGCATGGAGTAAGGATAGTGACTCTCTGGAAAATTCTCTGCCATTCCTCCCTTACCTTCTGGCTGTGTTCTCTTCCTAAGAAAAACAAGGGCCTCTCCCTATTTCAGCCTCACTGCCTCACTAAAGCACTGTGAAATACTTTGAGATGAATTTATTTCATTCGAAGCTTTTATAATTTCTAGTTTGTCTTCCCTTCTACTTTCTGCTTTCATCTGCTGTGCCCTTTCTCTTTCTTGCCTCCCCCCAACCGTGTACTGATAGCTCTCTCCATCCTCTCCTTCTGTACTCCATCCTTCACCTTCTCATAGTTTCCCCAAACCCCTTTTCCTAGCTCTGCCTTCTCCAGCCTCTCTTCATTTCCTTTGTCTCCTTCCCCATTCAAAGTACCTCTCCATCTCCCTCCACCCACAACCTCACACTTGGATCACCCTTTCCCAAGGAGCTCAGCAGTACACAGGACTGCACCAGCCAGGAGGAACCATGCCTGTTCTCCACACATACGACAGGGCAGCCGGTGGGGGCTTTTGTAAATACATACGTACTTTGGATGTTTGAACATGACCCTGAAGGATGGAAAAGGGGATGCAGGTGAGGTGGGGGTGGGGGGTAATGTGTTTTCTCTCAGGGTTGACAAATACATCCCATTCACTTATGTGTATTTTTTTTTCATTATGCTTACTCATCATGGTTGATAAACACTTCAGAGTGCCATCTTTTGAAAGGCAACCAGCTTTGAGAATAGTTTCACCTTGATAGCAACTGATCATTCAATTTACCTGAGTCCCACCTGGAGAAATTGGCCGAGTGGATCGTTTGTTTTGCCCATGGTCATGCCAGGTCCTGGCCACAAAAAGATCCACACCCAGCTTTATTTCTTCCTCATTTCAATTAGGTGAAGGAACGTCCTCTTGGCCAAATAAACACTGGAGGGCTGGGGATATAGCTCAGTGGCAGGGCACTAGCCTAGCATGCCCAAGGCCCTGGATTTGATCATCCAATGATAAAGTCATTGGGATGGACCCATTGTAGGTTGCAAATGCATTTAGTACACCTAGCTTATAGACCAGGTTAATTTAACACCACAATACTGTACACTGTAGCAGATCAGCGATTCTCTTGTGATCCTGGGGCTCACTTGGAGCTGTGGCTAGCTGCCTGGGAAAGGATCAAAAAAATTGAAATTCCAGGTGTAGTTTCTATTGAATGCATATTGTTTTCACAACATCATAAAGTGAAAATTAACAAACAACAACAACAATAACAAAAACCAAATAACTCTAACCATTCTGAGTCAAGGACCACTTGGTTTTTTTTAGCAATATCTCTATATTAGTTCCCTTCTGTAAATCAAATCTGATCCCAGGAGGTATATAAGAAAGTCCATGAAGAATATAAAGTGGTTCAATATCACAACTGTATGAAAACCTTATTTACATTAAAAAAAAGCACTGTAACACTCAACTCAAAAGGTAATAAGTTCTATTGTTTTATTTTTGCTCTTGTCACATTGCAGTAATATTAACTGCCTTACAAAATAGCTTGCCTTATGAAAGCCTATCAGTTATTTTATGAACTTGCTCTTAATATTTAATGGATCATTTGGAAACCTGGGGGAAATCCCTGTTCAAATTTCATGTTCACTTATTCAGGTATAAAGGTTTCTGAGTGGTAAATTCACTGTACTCAATAAAACAAACATCTTTTTTTATACCAGGAAAATGAAATCACGAAGCAATAAAGTTATTCTATTAAAAAAAATGTAGTGAGAATGGTATGTATATACAATGGATTATTAGCCTTTAAAAAGAAGGGAGTTATGCATATGGTACAACAGATATGAACCTTGAGAACTCTACACTAAGTAAATCCCTCTTTCTCTCTCTCTCTCTCTCTCTCTCTCTCACACACACAACACACACACACACACACACACACACACCACACTACACCAAAAGCAAAAACAAAACAAATACTGCATGATCCCACTTCTACAAGGTATCCGAAGTAGTCAAACTCTTAGAAAGCAGAATAAATAGCAATTGCCAGGGGCTGGGAGGAGAGAGAAAACAAGAACTGTTGTGTAATGAGTAGAAATGAGTAGAAAGTTTCAGTTTTGCAAGACCAAGAAGTTCTAAAGATCGCTTGCACCACAATATGCACACTCTCCTGTCTACTGACAAACTGTTAAGCTAGTTAAAAAAAAGGGGAGCCAGTTTGCTGGGGATCAAATCCAGGACCTCTTGCCTGCTGGGCAAGCACTGTACCGAGTCACACCTCCAAACCGGGATGATAAGTTGTAGGTTATGTATTTTTTTTTGCCACAGTCAAAATGTTGTGAAAAGCTGAACTCGTAAATTCAAAGTAAGACACCCGAAGTTACAAGAGTTAGCTGGGCGTTGAGAATCAGTCTCTAGCACCGTTTCAAAGTCTTTTCCTTGAACAATGAATATCACAATTTTGATGCTGTTTGCCAACATTTAAAATCTTTATTTAGGAAAAACAACTCAGTAACAAGAGAGTCACTCCCACGCCTCATCTGACCAATTCAGAGGTCACCTGAAGCTATTTTTCAGCCTGGTCACTTTTAGCCTAACACAGTAAGGTGTGACTTAAGAGTCTCACCTCTAAACCTTTCTCCCCAACTATCATTGATTCCTGAAATTCCACCACTTGAGAGCCATTTCTCTGCATTAAACTTTACCTTTTTCCTATGGCCTCTTTTCAAACCCAGGGAAGGGTACAACATTAAGACATGAACATTTAAGCCAGGCTTGGTGATACATACCTGTAATCTCAGCAGTTGGGAGGCTGAAGCAGGAGGATTGAAAGTTTGAGGCCAGCATAAGCTACATAGTGAGATTCTGCCTCAAAAAATAAAACAAACAAAAAAAGACATGAAAATTTGACTTTTGTGTTTGCTGGCTTGTTCATTTGGTCACTACTTTGAAAATCTATGACCACTCAAAATTTTACATATTTCTGGGCTTTGTACTCTCTCTTTCCCCTCCCCGCCCAGGTTGTTCCTGGCTGGAAGATTCTAGAGGCAGAGAGGCCGAGAGGTTGGGGTGGTGGACCAGTGCAGGTGGAAGTGTGGAATAAAAGAGGAAAAAAGTGGTGGAAAGGGTGAGGAGCACTGGGGCAAAATCCGAATTTGCCTGTCGCAATAATAATGAGGTGCTTTTAAAGTGTTTGCTATTGCTACATGTTTAATAAACACAGCACAAGATGCTGCAGATAAATGAAGCATTCATTCATTCATTATTATTATCTCATGAAATGGTTGCAGGGACAGCATGGGAATTAATAGCCCATTTCACAGATGAGAAAACTGAGGTTAACAGAGATGAAATAACTTACTCAATGTAG